GGCCTCGTTTACCAGACTTGACAGAGATAAGATGGGATAGGACAATATATCCAATGACAAGGATTTTATCAAATGTTAAAAAAAAGGATCAATTTTTTTTTTAATCACATCCAATGTTTACTTACCTAGCTTACACGACATGACTAAACCTGGGAATGTCAATTTTATCCTCATATCCACATTTCTTCCATTTCATATCTGCATCTGATTTTTTTCGAAAACCAAGCCATAGCTTCATCTCGTTCTCTTTCCTCTCTAATCAGTCGAGGTGTACAAACACGACGACCCCATAATTTTGAGGACAACTGGTCGAGGAGGGTAAGACGAGGATTAGGACCAAGACGAAGGTGGTCGGCGGAAATCGGGATGGGCGTCCTCTGCTCGTCCTGAAAGGTTTGGGCATCCTCGGCTCGTCACTGCACCATATGTACTCGAATTTTAAACATACAATTCAATCGGAATAAACAAATCTCAAGGCGAAAAATAAAAAAAAAATGTCGAAGAACACGAACCTGCAGCTGCGAGAGAGGGAATTAGGGTTCTATGAGTTCATCGAGAATGGCAGCTAAATTTGTTATATATGGCTTATTTTGTAAATTGATGGACAATAAAGGGTAAGATGGACAAATCAAGTGTGTATTTTTGGACAAATTGGTCATTGCAAATTGGGGATAAAAATATCCGAGCTATTTGGTGGGATTTAATTGTCCGTCCACTCAGCATTTTAGGCGTGGGACCCGCATGCCACGTATGAATTATACCCATCACAGTCCTTTCTAGTAAATATGTTATAAGGTTGGTTAAGGGGTTTTATCCTATCATATTCCTCTTAGTAAACGAGGTCTTATAGTATTATTATTATTATTTTTATTTCAGCTTGAAATGCTTAATAAATATATGTAATAAAAAAAGAATATATAAGAAATAACAATTTTTCTATATAATTATTATAAATTAAATATTTGATCCATGGTCTAAATTGAAAAACACTCAAATTTATAAAATTTCAAATAGGTCCCCGCACTCTATCTAATTCTAAACAAAAAATCCCAGAACTCGTATTAGGGGTGTTCAGGTCCGGTTTTAACAAAAAAAATCGTCAATCCGGACCGCAGATCGGTTAAATGAACGGTTAAAAAGCCTTAAAAATTCGGTGGTTAATTTTGTTAAAAATTCGGAATAACCGGTTCGGTTAACGGATTACCTGCGGCAAACCGTCGGTTTAACCGGACCGGACCGGTAAATATTAAAAAACTATAACAAATATATATATATACACATTCAGTTATTCACTATGGTCGACAAATACAATACATTCACTTTCATTTTTTTGCCTTTTGTTAACGAAATGTGTATTTTTATACTTATGGGACGAACTGCGTACTTTTTATTTAGTTATTGTTGTGTTTCTTAATTTTTAGGCCCAAATAATCTCTTTTGGGCCCAAAATTGAAAAATAAAAATTAAGCTCTAAAATGAAAAAAAAAAATAAAAAATTGAAGGCCCAAAATAAAGATTTTGGATTTTACCGGGTAACCGCCAAACTGGACCGTCTAATGCGTTCCGAATTGTGGCCGGTTAAAAAATAAAATGGCTCCGGTTATAGACAAGAAAAAAATTAACCGTTAGGTCCGGTTTGATCAGGATTTGGGCTAAAACCGGACCAATCCAGACCGTGAATACCCCTAGCTCTTATGCACCGCCACCCATGGCCCTTGGCATCCCGTCATCCTTGTCGAGAATAGCCACGTCACCACGTGCTCTACCGCGACTCCATCATCGCCGACATGTTTCATTCTTCCACCTCCGACAGAGTTGAGAAGTGCAGACACCTCCGGTGTCGGGCAGTCGTCCGTCACCATCGTGAACTCATGTGGTTGCACTGCATCTGATGGTCGTTCGTCGGGTTCTCTATCGTGGCAACCTGACGAACTGGAACCTTGGACGTCGAATGGACATCAGAGGGGCGCTCTGGCCGGTCGACGAGATGAATCAGACAGACATATCTTTGCTGGCGGCGGAGGAAGACGGTCGCGGTGGTGGCACTGTCGACGGCAGCACAGGAGGTTGTTGCCGGCGATAGCAGGAGGCCGACCTATGGTTCTGGAGGATGCCGAGATGGAGATACGCTGGAGCCGACGTGGAGGACACGACAATACCGACTATGTGTATGTGTGTGTTGGTGCATGTGTTGTGTGTGTGTGTGCGCTGTGCGTGTGTTATTGTGCGTGTATTTGTGTGACGTGTGTGTGGCGTGTGTTTGTGTGGGTGCGTGTGTTGTGTGTGTAAAAGTGGTGACGTGGCGCATGTGTGTGGGTGTGGTGATATTGGACTCGTTGAAAATTACTACATTACCCTTAATAAAGATATAATTTTAATTTTTTTTAAACCATTAGAAAATACATTATTAGCAAACAAGTAGTTAACATTTCTGTTTTGATTTCATAGTTATTGTGTTTATTATTGTTTGTTAATTTATTTTTTTACTTTTACTTACCTATGTTCACTCTTCAAAAGTCAATAGGAGTGAACACAAATACAAAACTGGAACAACATAAAAAATAAAAAATGTTGAATTAATGGATGAATCATATGTCTAATCAAACACATCAACAAAACACAGAGCACCATTACAACTCTCAAGCCACCGTGAGAGCGACGGCGATGAAACCAGCAGCCACCGCCGCAAGCCCTAGCCTGTTCACAATGCCGCCGTTTCTCGAGGGCTGTGGGGCCAGATCGGAGGACGGAGGCAAGGCGACGGAAGACACGGGGGACACCGGCGGAGGAGTCGGGGCCAAGGGAGCGGGGGTCGGCTCCGGGGAAAGGTGTGGCGCGTGAGCCGGATGACTAGCGGCGGGAGACCGCGCCACGGCCGATACCAGCAGGGACGCCGCCGTCAGCAGAAAAAGAGACCTGCAAACGGCCATTGCTGATAAGTTTCGTGAGTGTAATAGGGTAACAGTAGAGAGAGAAAATGAAGCGTTTGATTTGGGAAGAGAGAGAGTGTGTGAGTGGGGAAAGGGTGTGTGGTGGATCAGTATTTATAGAGGCGTTTCAAACGAGTAAATGAGTTTAATTTTTTCTACCTATCACGGTCACCGTTGATTGGAATTCCCACCTGTAAATGAGTGTGTACCGACGGCTGAGATGCGATGAATTTGCTTGCTTATTATGGGGAAATAAAACAAAACAGTCACCTTGTGAGTTGTAAAACGTGTGTGAATTAGGTGGAACTTGCCTTGTGGGCTTTTAATTTTAACCTCGAATTTAATGTGCTTTTTTTTTTTTTTTTTTTTTTTTTTTTTTTTTTTTTTTGTATGAACGCCTGTTTTAACAAAAGCGGTTTAGGAGTAACGTTACCGTGCAATTCAATTTAATTTCAATTATTATATTCATCTATCTGATTCAATTTAATTTCAATTATTATATTCATCTATCTGATTCGGATGTATATTCTTCACTAACCAGATTTGTAAATTGTGGTGACCTCAATGTATATATATATAAAAAAAATCATTATTGTTTCTCTTTTACATTTGTGGGAAACTCAAAAAGAAAGAAAAATGGAAAAGAACTCAATGTTGCATTTTTTACATTTTCCCTATTAAACTTATATTTTTTACACTTTGCCCACTTAACTTTAATTTTTTGTACACTTTACCATTTCCGGTCACTGTCGGCCTCATAAACCAATACGTGGTCTTTGTGCCTTATTGCCATGTGTCGCCGACAGTGACCGAAAACGACAAAGTGTACAAAAAATCAAAGTTAGGTAGACAAAGTGTAAAATAAAAAAGTTTTGAAGGCAAAGTCTAAATTTCCGGATAGTTAGGTAGGCAAAGTGTAGTTATTCCTAAAAATAATAATGAGAAGGAGAAAACTTTTACTAGGATTCGAGGACTTCCGAGAAACATGGCTGAAAGGGAATAGATGACAAGTTTTGAGGAGTTGACTCTATCTCTCTGTCTCTCTCTCGCTCTCTCTCCACGTGCCACCGCGTCGAGAAATTTGTCTGTTCGAGAAGCTCTCCACGAGATTGCGTCCTCCCATCGATCAATTTCCACGACCTATCGTCTGACATCAGCTCTCGCCTTCGCTGCGACATTACTCCTACCGCGTCGTAATCCTAGAACCCCGCCACAAAACTTCCTCCTACCGCCACAACACCGAATTTGACGGCGATGACCTGGACGTAAAGCATGGAGGTTCTGATGGTGTCGAGGATGTCGACGTGCATAAAGGTGACGTCGCCTCCGAGAATCGAGCTTCTCTGATGGATTTGAAGATCAGACCGCTGGCAAGAAATTCTGATTTGAGACTGTGATTTTTGAAATTTGATAAGTCCCAAGAACCTAATTGCAATTGTATAAATTTTAAAATATTTTGATAATTTTCGTTTCTGATTGCGAGAGATCAATTTTCCTTGGCATATTTCCCAGCTCCTTTGTTAAACCCTGTTTACTAGTAGTTCCGATTGATTTGGGATCCATCTGCCGAGAAAGACGAACCGAAAGAAATAACCACATAAACCTGAAAATCTGAACTTAGACAGAAACTAACCCGACTGAGAAAGAAGAAAGGAAAACTAAGGCTGGCCTACCCACACTCAAGGGAATCTTCAAACACTCAGCTAACGCCCTAGAATGGAAGCTCTTCGAACGTCCTCCCTTTCAGTACAATGTAATTCTGCATTCCCAGGATCTTACATGTCACAACCATTTATGAGTTATTGCTACTTACCAAACATGGGCTCAAGAATTTCGAGGTTTTTACTGTAATAATTATACTTTTACATTAGCACAAACACACACACAAACAGACTGGTAAAAATGAAAACACAATATCACCTTGATTGTCTCTTCATAAAATAAACAAAAGAAAGAATAAATACCCATGTCAAGATTTCAAGACCTACACGACAAAATCAGAAGTAAACTGTGTATTCCCAATCTTTTATTCAAGTATATTTTGAGTAACCAGCTAAATTACCCAAAATCTTATGATTCAGATTTAGCTGGACTCTCGCCACCAGGTCGACCATTCTCGTTCTTACCAATGATGGGTGGCTGGCCGTTGATATCAGATCCGTAAACATGACCCATTTTGAAATGTTTGGTCTCAAGGTATCTTTTGTTGTCCTTAGTGATTGGGGTCACAAGAGGAACCCGGCCGGCAACAGCCAGACCGTAACCCTTGAGCCCAATGTACTTGGAAGGATTGTTCGTCATCAACTTCATAGTTCTAACCCCAAGATCCCTCAGTATCTGCACACAATGATTATAAAAAACTAGCAATCTGAGAAATGCTTTATGACAATTATTTTATTATCTTCCACCCACCCCTAATTCTAATTCATGTTTCCCTCTTTTTTATAGTAATTTCTCTCAAGGATATAATCCACCCATAAGGTGTATGATTCACGGTATTCTTACTCGTACAATTGTGCAATTACAATCACATGACAAAAGGAAAACATGGTTAAGGACGCCATGGCTCAAACTTACTACCTTATTCTGAACTTTGAACAATCAATAACATATACCTTTAAGGAATAATTATAAACTATACCCTCCAATTTAAGCTTAATTGCAAAAGTACCCAACCACCTTCCAATACCACAAACAGTTCCAAGTCCATCAGAACACATTTAAGAATGACGATGCAGTTTAACAAAAATAGAAGAATGACACTGTTACAGATATTTTTAGTAGGATGGTAATATATGTTGGCAATATGTGTTGGTTACCGGGTTTTTCATCAACTTTGGCCCAACTGGTGTTTAGGAAGTTTGACAGCACTTGATATGATATAATATAAATAATATAAACTTGTCAAATTGCCTCTTTATCTAAAGAAGAGGCAGGATAATCAAGCAGGTCCCTATATAATTTCCCAAATAAATGGAACCCAAATGATTACATCATTTTAGTCCGGTCTGTCATAATTAATAAGGTATTCTTAACATTGCAAGATCTCTATTTATTCTTAATTAGCCAATTAGGGTAAATCATAAGAATTTGCACGCCGTACAAATAGTTATAATGAAAAAACTTAAAAGTACCCAATACCTGTGCACCAATTCCATACTCTCTTGAGTCAACAGGCAAACCGAGCTCCTCATTTGCCTCAACAGTATCACGCCCATCGTCCTGCAGATTGTACGCCCGAAGCTTATGGCCCAGACCGATTCCCCTGCCCTCGTGGCCACGGAGATAGACCAGAACACCCCGGCCGGCAGCTTCTATCTGCTGCATCGCAAGTGCCAGCTGGTTCCCGCAGTCGCATCTAGCTGACCCAAATATGTCTCCAGTCAGACACTCCGAGTGTACTCTCACGAGGATATCCAGTCCATCCCCAATTTCACCCTATTTACACCCCATAAAATATCAGTAGGAAAATCTTTTGAACTGATTCTGAGAATGACAAAAGGTCAAAGCAAGAAGCTGCCACTTTATTTCCTCAATATATTGACACAGAAAACATATTGGAATTATTAAACCACACATACGACACAGAGAACATATTGGAAATATTAAACCACACATACACACAAGTGTGGGCTAAAAGAACCCAGAGACAAGTGAAAATAAAAAAATTATAAAGTACCTCAAGGTTCGATTATGCATTAAGTTTCCCCACCTACATAAGCAAAAACTACTTTTACAATGTACATTTATTTGTGATACTTGACAATATTAGGGTAATCCCTTGCATTTAAGACAGAATAAAATCTCAAGGTCTTCCTTTTTTCCTATTTTCAGAGACCCTTGAATTCTTCTGTAAATATGTCAAACCACATTTTTGTATGTGATTTCAAATAGTGAAACAGGATACCAATAAAATACGGAGAATTCTCTCATCAAAGAATACTGCCATTCATGTTCCTTCAAGTTCAGGCTCTTGATGGTCAATTAGCAACACATTACATCAAGAAATGCTGAGACAGTCATCCCAGATCAGCAAACAAGCAGAAAATAGATTGACTTGAATAAATAACAAAATTCCCTTGACCACTAACCTTAACCATTGCAATATGCTCGATCCCATCCAAAATTGATCTATAGCAATACGCAGTGAATGGTCCCCACATAGTTGGTATACGAGCAGCAGATGCTTGTTCCACTAATCTATTTCTTTTTCTCCTATATCTGCATATCATTAAATGTGTGAGGTACTGTATAAGATATATTGGACCACTCAGTGATTATACAGAAATATCAAAAATATCTCAAGAAATAATTTAAAAGATATTACAAACTGCATGACCTAAGATACTACTAGATAGATGGAAATAGTAATATAATAGTTGGTAGTTAAAATATGTGAGTGAATGAATAATAAATTTTACAGATAAATGTGTAGTAATGATTGATTTCTAATTTGATAGTTGTATTGAAAATAGTGAGTGAAAGAAAGAAAGAACAGGGAGATGAATAGTGTATTTAACTGATAGGTGGATGAGTAGATGACTTTTGATAATTGTGATATATATCCTATTGCACCCAAAGCGCAATTGATCATTCCCATAAGTGATTGAATACATTACCTTATTAAATCGGCTATAGATATGATCTTCAAATTCTCTTGCTGCACAAATTGCCTAAGCTTCGGCAGTCGGGCCATAGATCCATCATCATCGACAATTTCGCACAAAACTCCAGCAGGTTCTAATCCAGCTAGCACAGCAAGATCCACAGCAGCCTCCGTATGCCCAGCTCTTTTAAGAACACCACCCTCTCGGTACTTCAACGGAAATATGTGCCCTGGGCGGTTGAAATCCTCGGGCTTCGAATCTTTTGATGCAAGAGCCTTTATTGTTATGGCCCTATCACGAGCAGAAACTCCCGTGCTTGTACCATGTTTTGCATCCTACAGAGTGAGGCATAGTATTTTGCTACATTAGCTATGTTTTCTCATTTTGGACAAAGAAATAATCTACTCATATTTCAAATATAAAATAGAAATATCAACCTAAGGCATCCAAAGCTTCCTTAGCATTTTGCTAAAACAATAACCCTGCAAGTGCAATCCATAAAACAGATAACAAAAACCATCCTTATGAATTTGTTAAAAAAATTTAAATTTCAGGTTTGTGTAGTTGTACTTTGTGTACTATATTCACCCTTCAAAAAAAAAAAAAAAAAAAGGAAAGATCAGAAAACCCTTTACATGCATGTAAATATTACAAATACCACCTTAAATTTAAGGCAAGAATCAAACCTTAACTTCCAAGCATGCTATGGGCCTCTATTAATTAATCCAAACCTCAACATATGTTTTCAAATTATTCCTAGAAAAAACATTATGTTTTTGAGATGGTGAATATTTATCCAAGTTCCAGGTGTACTTTTCTTAGCTTAAGTAGATAATATACGAGAGTGGACAGTAATAAGAAGCATAGTTCCAAATCCATAGCAGATAAAACAAAACTTACCACTGAAATAGTGAATGCTGTACAAAGTTTCTCCTCATTATGGCTCACCATCAAAGGGAGCTGCAGCCTCTCCAAGTCCTCTGATTTCATGCTCACACAAACAATCCCAGTTCCATGTTTCACAAAGAAAGCCATGGCCTCTGGTGTAACTTCTGAAGCAGCCATTATTAGATCTCCTTCATTCTCCCTATCTTCATCATCTACAACAACGACCATCTGCAATAACAGCCAAAATATTTGGTAAAGTACAAAATTCAGTTTAATATCAAAAAATAAAACGATACCAACCTTTCCTTTCCTAATGTCTTCAATTGCTTCTGGAATAGATGAGAAACCTTGTGATGGCAGGTCCAAATCAAATTCGTTGTTCTCAACAGGAAATCCACTTGTAGTAGGAGCCGTATCGGCCGAAAGTGCTCCTAATACCACAGAATCAGATTGCACCTCTACTCCACCAGTTAAGTCGCTAGTGACAGCTTTACTTGCTACCCTAGCAGACTTATGCAGAAAGTTGCTTTCTCCAGAGAAAGCTTCCGATTTAATAATCATACCAGCCTTGATACTTAGGGCTGTTTTTGCACTTGGCTGCTTGACCGACTCTATTCCGTTCAAAGAGTGCATGTTTGCACAACCCAGAGAATTGAACTTCCTGATTTCATTGATAAAAGAAAATGTCAGCTTACCTGCACTCATGTATTTTATGTAAACCAAAGAAACTAACTATTATTTTTCCTTCAAGAAATGAGTTAAAATGCATCAGCATGAACAACTACGTAATAGTGATATCCATTTGAGTACTGTTGACAATTTTTAACATTTAATGGCGACAGTGTGTTGCTTAATATTGGGTATCCGGATTAAATTAGTGAAAAGTTATAACTGATATTCCAAGAAGGCCATGCGTCAAGGAACGCCAGTTTGTACGAGGCAAACACCACTAGAAACGAGTCAACATGACACCACAAACACAATATCAATCCTGGACAAAAGGATGAAAAATACAATAATCTATTCAAAACCCACTTAACGCAAGAAACGAGTTAACATAACACCACAAACACAGAAAATTTGGATTAATTTAAAAATTTTCTCCTGATAATACTAGACTAAAGCCCTGTTACAGTCCGACTCCCAGCTCTTGGGTCCAAACAGATACAATCTATTCTCAAAAGGGAGGTGAAATTCGCATTATCCCACGAATCAAACTTCAATTTTTCTATCATATTCCATTAATTAAAGAAAAACGACCAACAGTTTCCTTCATGTCCGCCACTAGCCGATGAAAAAAAAAATGAAAAAGCCCAAAACAAGCAAACTCAAACGAATTTCAATCTAAAACCCCCAAAATTGCGCATAACAACACACGAGAAAAACACATTCCTTTCATGAAGAACCCGATCCAAATCACGAGAGAGAAAACGAGGTAAACTAACCGACTGCGAGCGAGTGTGGCGGCAGCGCAAGAGAAGCAAACGGAAGCCATCCTTTTCGAAATGAAAGCTTACGAGCCTTCTGAATATGTCAGGATAATCTGAAGGAAAATGCAAACAAGTGATTACCAGCTTCGAAAAATTGATTGGATTAGTGAACAGCCCTGCACAGACAGTGCTTGCAGAAAGGGTTTTTTTTCGCGGGGGCCCAAAACAGAGTGGCCGGAAAATACAGTTGCGCAAGTGGGAGATCGAGTTGCCTCCCAAGCGGGTGATTTATCTTGCATCACCGCCCAATAGAATGTTTAATTTTTGAACAAAAATATAAATAAAATAGGTTAAATAGCAATTGCACATCAATATTTTTTTTTTTTTTTTAGTTGGTGTTAAATTAAACGAATTTAACTCAAGCCATCGAGGTCTTAATTAGTCGAGCTCGAACACACTTAAATCTGGTTTGGTTGAACTTGACTCGTTAAAGTTCGAGAAAAAAAAATATATATATTTTTTATAGTTCGAAACGTTAAAGCTCGAGATCGACTCGAGTTCAACATCTTTAACGAGACGAGCTCGAGCTCGATTTCTGAATCGTTTATTTATCGAGCCAAGTTGATTGCCTATGGTCCTAATAGATCTCTCTCTCTCTTTTTTTTTTTTTTTTCCAACAATAATTATGGTAGATCACATTTCAAATATAGCAATTTGTGGCATATTATTCTTCATTGAAAACATCACCAAACCTTGGAACAAAAGGAAAAAAGCAAATGAAAAAAAAAAAGTAGGGAATATGGGCCAACTTTCGATATTAGCCAACTAACGCCACATCCAAATAAGGCAAGTGATATGGGATTTGTCTCAGTCCACACATTAATTATTTATTAGTTTTATTTACTCTGTGTGACATTCATATAGAATAGACTGCAATTCTATTATTAGTCCAGCATTTGCCAATACTATGTATGTTCCTTCACCTATTTTAAATATAATGGTTAATGCACTAGTTTGTTTTATCATAATTTACTAAAATCTATAGCCAAAATCATATTAAAATTCACAAGTCAATTGGGAGTTGTGTTAAATGAACCGAGCCGCTTGATAGGCTCAACTGGTTAAGCTTCAAATTTGACTTGATCAATCGAGCCTAGATCAAGCTCATATAGTTAACGAACAAAATATGGTTCTACGTTAGGGTAGAGAAATAGGATTTTTACATAATTTATGAACTATTATCTTAGCTATACTGATTAAGATTCGAATAAGGGTCATTAATTTTGATAATTGGGCTGAGATTGAGTTTGATTATCAGCTTGTAACAAACATGTATTTTTGGCAAAATAAAAAATTTCAATTAAGTCCTTAAGTCTATATTAATTAGACAATTTGGATAGATTCTCGACGATTAATGGAAGTATTCTCGAATTTATTCATTTCTAATTTGATTCATTATTCTTGGACTTATTGATATTTTTGTTATAGGAAGATTTGGTGCGGGTTATTGACTTACCTTGCATAGACGAGAAAGAGAAGCGCGGACTGATGACACCTACCTTTTAGACAAATGAGAGATGTGCAGGTACTATCTTGCATAGACGAGAAGGACGCGTTGACATGATTGGAAGAACTTGGACACACAAACGTACCTTGATTAAGAGTGACTATATTTGGAAGCTAGCGAAGAACATACTTTGGAAAACATATAGTGTTTAGCTTTGCACGCTCTCTAGTTTTGATTAAGCAACTTTTAGAGGAATTGTGCAATTGGTGTTTTAGTTTTCTTTCTTTTGAGTGAGAGATCAAATTAGGACATATACTTTTGAGTGATCATCTTCTTGGTGCTTGGGACTAGCACCTTTTCTTGTACGGAGGGATCATCTGTAACTCAAAGTCAACGAGGAGTGGCAAAATAAGATAAATGTGTACGACGTAAGTTAGAAAGAGAGTCTTCGCTGTAAATCTTATTTGTACTTGGCCATCCACTTATTTAAGTGAAACCGTCGGAAAGAGAGTGATATAATCTCTTGAAAGTTCATTTTACATTTTGAATTGCTTCCGGAACTTGTAAGAACGTTCATAGTTTACAGTATTAAAGTGCAATTTATATCTCCCCAAAATTCAAGCTCAATAAAGCACGAGCTCTAGTATCTAGAGCACAAACTTAGTTCCTCTCGTTTACACCTGTAGTAACAATTGAATTTTTTATAGGCCAACCACCAATTTAATTCATCGACAACAAGAATTCAACCTAATCCTCTAGTTCCCAAGCAGAACAAAAACTTGCGAGATGTTACAACGAACAATTAACTCGAACACTAGTCCACTACCGTTTTGGCTATATGCATCCACAAATTCCACAACACAGAACAAAACTCATGGTTCAATGTCAACGCACTGAATGCACAATAATGATCAACAATATCCACCACTCAACTTTGAAGTAAATTTACAATACCACGGGTAATTACTTCTCATTTCCCACACCCAAAACGAATATTTACCATAGTACTCAATAGTCAAGACAATCTTTAATTCCTTCGCCGGCCAGGCTTGGTCCGCCTTCTGGAGGAGTTGCCAGAAGAGGACTGACTTGATTCTACAGGCAAAACCGTCCCTCCTTTGATGCCATCCAAGTCCGCCGTGTTCGTAACCATCCTTTGTGCTTCAACATAAAACTTCAGGTCTCTTACCTGCAATTTTAAACCCACATTGTAACTTATGCCTACACGTATTCACTAATATATTGAATGAACTTAGGCATGATCCCTTGGAAACACACCTGTTCCTGCAGTTCTAAAATGTTTTCATCCATTGACTTCAGAGATGATTTTTCCCTGGTAGAAATAGAATTCATGTTGGCAAACCACTTCAGGAAACCACAAAATACTTTAAAAGTAAAACATTAAAAGTAACTCAAGAGGATGGAAATACCAACAAAATCACCAAATAATTTCCACCAAAAGTCCAATGAACTATTGATTAGTAAGTTGTAAAGGGACTTTACCAAGACCCAACAGTAACAAGTAAATAACAGCGTTATAAATAAGCACATGCCTGATATAAGCAGGTAGATACAAGAGTATCTGTCAGTGGCGAAAAAAATACCTTTCTTCAACTTCCTTGAACTTATTTTGAAGAAATTCTTGCTTCTTCATAAGCTCCTGATTCCTCTGAGATAATAATAAGAGAAGTTGAGATATTTTACAAAAAGTTCTTATGGAGAAAACTTCAGTATATCTAATCCGGCCACAGATTAGTTATGTTGATAAAAAAATATTTCAAAAGCTTAGCCACAGGGGAAAATGAAAGAAAAAGGAAAATAAAGTTTACATCACCAACAGCCTTCTTCTCCTTCTCACACTTTTCCAGTTTGTATTCAAGATCATGGGTCCTTGAAAATATAGCCTTCTCGACTGCCTTTGCTATGGATGCGTCTTTTCTACTTCTCGACTCAGCAAGCAAAGACTCATAATGCTGACAGACAATATGAGGTAAATTTGTATTAAGATGTTACAAGTCTAGACTCTTCTCTCTTACAGTTATACTCTTATAGTAGGATCCCAACCAGATTAACAACTGCTGCAAGTACAAACATATCACTAATTAGAAACCAACTACTTCAAGTTTCTGGAGTTGAACTTACTTGTCTTTGTGTATCAAGCTGACTTGCTAGAAGACGGTTGTATTCATCCAGAATCTATTGCCAGGAGGAAATAACGAAATATACATTACTACATAAGGCCCATTTTGAATAAAGTGCTAGCTCATTTTAAACAGCTGTCTCAGTTGACAAAAAAAGGACATCTAACAAAAAAATATTTTTGCAGGTTGCACATTACTTATTTTAAATATGAAAAACCTTGGTATGGTTAACATGAAGAACACGACATACCCCTTCGATTTTGCTGCTAAAGAGAGTGCCATCCAACCCTTCTTCACATCCACAAGTCCCACATTTTTCAACCGAGTTGCACCGCGAATTTACAATGGCCGATTTCCCACCAGCTTTTGAGTGATTCAGTCGATGGACATATTTATCTCTGACATAATCCCAGATTTGTTGCTTTTCCAGCTCCAAAGAAAAATGGTGTTTCTTGTCTGTCCAATGTGCATGAGCGTGACCCTTTTCATATCTACAGCAATAAGTTACTAGAATCAGTTAATTTGGCATCTGTTGTTAACATTAAATCAACAAATAGCATGTTTTTATACAGTTTTAGGCCTCCGAAAACAGCCCATGCAGCCAACGATTTAAGATAAAATAAGAAAACCATTATACCTTCCACATCCAACAAAACCACAGATCAAACAGATCCATGGGTTCTTGGACGTTCCGCAAATAGCACAGGTTGGCTTTTCATCCTGATGCTGACAAAGTCGGCAAACCTGAAGAGCATATTTACACATATACTATGACATCTAGATGAATAATACCATGGAATAAAACCATATTCGTGAATTCAACAACACTATAATAAAAAATATGAGCTAACATTTTGAGTAAATGTTCAATTATAAATACACAACGATAGTGTCTGATGATAAGCAGAAGTCGGAATTAGTACACAAGAAATGGATTCTACAAGAAATAAAATACTGCCCACAAGATGATGTAAGATATAAATTTCTTTATTTGCATGAATGGACGGGTTAAGACTGGCTCTAGAAACGTCATCTCACTTTTGATGTAATTGGGCAATTTAAGTAGCATACAATGATACAAGGTTAGTGTGAAAAGGATATCTTAAAAAGAACAGAAAATTATAAAGAGGCGGGCGAATAACTGACCAAGCAGGACAAGTACGTCCACTTTGATACACAAGAACACTGAAAAGAATGGTCGCACAGTGTGCTCTGTATTCCACTGGCATCTGGGTCCAGCCTTTCTAACATATTCATTGATTAAAGAAAAACATCAGAATACAGGAAAAAGAAATAGAAAAACAAAGTAAAGATGCGGAAATACAACGAATCACGAGCAAATGCCCATGGCAAAACTAAGTGCACTACACACACACACACACACATTAGTAAGTAACTAACCGAGACAAACTGGACAAGAGGGTAATTCAGTATAGTCAGGGGGAGGTACACTAGCAATTTCGGCAGAGTCGGTATACTCAACTGAATGAGCGAAGTATATATGGCAAATCTCCACCTGGAAAATACAACCAACCAACCGCATACAAAAAAGAAAGAAATTAAAATTATATAAAATGCAGAACCTAAGCTGATGAAAAGTGAACGGGCTATTTATTGTCTGTAATATATACCTCAGGCGGCTTGAATCTCTTGCCGTTGTAACTACAATAGAATCCGTCAGCCGCCAACTGGCTTTCTAACCTGATCAGAACACTGTACCTGTCCTCGATCCCCTCATTCCTGATACACAAACAAAATTACATACTGAAACGAACAAACAACAAAAACAGAAATTACTATCAATCAAATTCAGTACGCGACAAATCAAACATGTAAATGGGCATCCTCCGATCACCACAATATAAAGCTATATATAGTGATTGCAATGTATTTCTTACTTTATAAAGAGGATTTCTTGGAAGTAAGGGACGTGGTTCCCACAGAAGACGAGGAATTCATTCTCCGACATATAACTGGGGACGGCCACCACGAAGACGACGGTGGTGAGAGCCCTTACGCTGGCGGCGGGGACGCCGTCGTGGGTGGCGGAGGGAAGCTGGCGGAAGAGGTGGGCGACGCCCCTCAGTTCGAAGGGCTTCAGGTCACTCTGAGCGTTGGCGGCGGAGGTGGTGGAGGCGTCGAGGGGCTGAGAGAAGTCGACCGTGTGAATTTTAAGAATAAACATTTTAGACTTCGATTCAGAAGGTAATCAGATTGGAAACAAAATTAGGGTTCGGCCGAAAAATTGGGGCAATCAGATTGGGAGTTCGCTCGCTTTGAAAATGGAATTTGGGATGTGCAAGTTCATCAATTTGAATACGCCTTATCCAGTCAACCAAGTCCGCAATTCAGTACGGTAACCGTGTATGTGTTTGGGAAAAAATAATAATTATATAAAAGTACTCATATTATTGTAATATTGTAAAAATAAGTAAACAATAAATAGTGAATTACTAATAGAGTGATCATTTCTTTATAGTAGTCCAATTCAGAGATAAAATCTTTGTCTATCTTAGCCCATCTAAATCAGCTAGAGAACTCCAGTGGACTCATCTTCTTTTCAGAAAACAAGAATGGGGAGAGATGTGGCTGTTAGCGGGGGATTGGAATGATCTCTGTAGAGCAGAACATAAAATGGGAGGTAGATGCAGGCCTAGTATCAGCTATGAAGGTTTCAACAACTTTTTGGTTCAACTGGGAGTGCAAGAGATTCTTTAAGGGGAAAGATGTATACCTGGGCTAATAACGGATGACGGGAAGGCTATGTTGAAGAGACTTTGGATAGAGGTTTGTTCCTCTGGAGTGGTTGGCATTATTTCCAAACACCAAAGTCACCAGCTATTTTAAAAGCTCATATGATCACTATCAGCTGGTGATTAATATTGATGAAGGAAGTCCTAAGTACAAGAAACGTTTTCAATTTGATAAGTAATGGTTAAAAAAAGAAGGAGTACAACAAGTGGTGAATGAAGCATGGCAGCACACAGATCAAGGTACTCCTATGTTCAGATTCAAAGAGAAGGTTAAAAGAGTTAGACATGCCCTTCTGCAATGAAGCAAATTCTTTAACTCTGGCATACCCTTATTACCTTAATTCCCAAGTGCCCTAATCCTGTGTCTATTCATCACTTCAGACCAATAAGCCTATGCTCAGTCTTTTACAAAATCATATCTAAGGTGTTGGCTTTAAGACTGAGACCAATGTTTTAAAATGCGTATAGCGTAATGCGTCGCGTTTTGGTTTTTATATTGCGTAGCGTAAATAGCGTTGCGTGTTGCGTAAGCTATTTGGGTTTAACATTTTTTTTATAGAAATATTACAAGTATATTTGCATATAATAAAAAGAAAAATGCTATAAGTACATAACAGTGTACATAGAGGTGTACATAACACTCACATTAAGTGGGTCCTACCAAAAATAAAAATTAAGTGGACTCACTCCATGTGAGTGTTATGTACACCTCTATGTACATTTATTATGTACTTGTAGCATTTTTCTAATAAAAATATATAGTTGATTACAAAAATTATCATAGTATTTGAATGACATAAAAAATAACATTAAGGAATAATTCTCACAAATGTTTAATGTAAATATCATCATAATATATATATGTAATAATAAATCGAATATATTAAAAAGTAAAAACAAACAACGAAAATATAGTGAGGTAAGTCATAGTATAAGTTTTAAGTATATGCATTTTAATTATTATTATTATTATATTTAACTACAACTTAATTCTAACCATTAGATATGAACTTTTTATTCTTTATTTAAATGTCAAATATCGAAAAATAAAATAATATAACAAAAATGGCAAAAATATATTGCATTATTCAACTTAGGACTTTGCATTTTTAAAATTTTAATTTGAAATCATTATCAAAATTTTTAGTTTTTAATTGTCATTTGTAAATATGACTTTGATCCCTAGAAAATACGAGTCTATGAATATTTTATTATTCAAATGTCGTTGCAGAAATATAGCAATGTAGCGAACAATAGCGTGAAATAGCGCAAAATAGCACAAGAAAGCGTGCCGTTTCAACGTTTCGCGTAAGCTTTTCGGGAAAAACACTAAATATATAAGGCTACGTCGCGTTTTTTCAAAAAAAGCTATATAGCGAGCAATAGCGAGCTATTTAAAACAATGACTGAGACAAATCTTACATGTATGCATTTCTGATAATCAGTTTGCTTTTCTTCCTGGTCGGAATCTCCTTGATAATGTTATCATTGGCCATGAGATCTTCCATTTCTTGAACAGACCCAGAACAGGGCAACACAAGTTTATGGCTTTGAAGCTTGATATGATCAAAGCTTATGATAAAGTAGAATGGAGATCAATTCAGCTTACTATGTTAAGAATGGGTTTCAGTGCTCAATTTGTCAAATGGACAATGGCTTGCATTCAATTCCCTTCTTTCTCTTTTAATGTAAATGGAAGAACCTATGGCTTAGTTAATGCTTCCAGAGGATTAAGACAAGGGGACCCTTTGTCCCCTTATCTGTTCCTTATTATCTCAGAGCTACTTTCAGCTAAAATTGGATCCGAAACAGAGAAGGGTTGTTTTCATGGCATCAGATTGGCAGGGGAAGGTCCTATGTTAACCCATCTTATGTTTGTTGATGATACATTGTTATTCTGTAAGGCTGAGGAAAGGCAGGTGGATAGGATTATTCATATTTTGCAAGATGAGATGTTCACAGGGCAACAAGTGAACCTGGCTAAGTCCTCTGTTTTCTTTAGTAAGAATTCTCTTTTGAAGCTGCAGGAGAGAGTGTGTTCTATGCTTCAAGGTATTGAGGCTCATTCCTCTACTAGATATTTGGGATTATCCATGGGGTTGGGCAGATCCAAAAGGGAAGCCTTCGAGTATATTTTGAATGTGGTGAAGAAAAGAGTGTTAACTGGAAGAACAAGTGGCTATCTACAGCTGGGAAGGATTCTCATTAAAGTTGTTATCAATGCCTTACCAGTCTATGCAATGTCATGTTTTGTCTTGCCAGTAGGCCTCTGCAAGGAGATTTCAAGTGTATGCTTCCAGTTTTGTGGAGCAAATATGCTGATCAGAAAAAAGGTTTTCCATGGATTGTCTGGGACAAGTTAATCCTTGCTAAACAACATGGAGGTTTAGGTTTTCAAGATATCCGACTTTTTAACACAGCCCTTATCGCAAAACAGATATGGAAGCTTGTCTCTGAACCTGATTCTTTGGCCAGCAGAGTTTTCAAGACCAAGTATTTTTTATATTCTACCATTTTTTAAGTCTAAAAAAAGTCCAGCTCTTTCTGGCTTTTGAATAATTAGATATATGTGTTATAGAAGTGTGGGAAATGGGTACATATCAAAATCATAAATGGCAAAAATACAAGGATCTAGGATGAGCATTGGATACCTAGCAGGTGGCCAACAGGTGGATTTACTTTCTGGTATTGACAGAGGTATCAACTGGGTTAGTGATTTAATGACTATTGATGGTACTGGCTGGGATGAAGACAAAGTTAGAAAAACTTTTCATCCTGATATGTGTGATCAGATCCTCAGCATTAGAACTTTGAACTCCCAGCGGGATGATAGGTGGAAGTAGAACCTTCACAAAAAGGTTTGTTTATTGTTAACTCCATCTACTCTAAACTTATTCTGAGAAGTTTTTGAAATTTGATCAAGCTCAAGGCAGCTCAGATTTAGTTAGAGATGTCAAGATTAGAAACCAGAGTTGGAGTTTAAAAGTCATGGAGCAAGTGAAGCATTTTATATGGAAATGTTAATATAATTCCTTACCAGTCAGTGCTAATTCGCATAAGAGAGGCATTGTAATAGATACCATTTGCAGGCTATGTGGAGAAGCAATAGAAACCATCGAGCATATTATGTTTCATTGTGACTTAGCAAAGCAGACATGGAAACTTTCACCAGTTAGTTGGGACGACCACCATCAGCAAGCCACTTTTAAACAGTGGTGGTGGGATGTGTGTCAGCTAGATAAGTCTAGCATTTTCGAAGCTCAAATTCAACTATCGACATATATTTTAGGGTGACTTTGGAAATCTCGTAATTTGTGGGTGTTCGAAAGGCTAAGAGACATGCGTGGTTTGTTGTCCAAGCTGCGGTTCGAGATTGGCTAGGCTATTTGGACAGTAGAGCGTCTCAGGTCAGGTGTTAGTAGTTTGGTTGGTTTGTGTCAGTTTCTTTCAGTTGTTCATTATGTTAGTTCTCAGATCGTTTGTCTTTTCCTTTTCAGCCATTAACCGTGGTGTACAGGCTCAGTGGCATGTCACTGCTGTAGCCTAATTTTTTGGTTTTTTTGTTTTGTCTTGTTTTGTGATGATTGTGGTGTTGTGTTTTGTCTATCTAGGCCACCTATAAGTGGTTCTCTCATTTGTCAGCTTGTATTGTATTGTTGACACTTCGTATTTTTCTCTTTGTTTAATGCTAAGAGCTTTCTATTGTTAGAAATTTATATATACATATAACACAAATATTATTCAAAGCTCTATTAATTTGATTTTGATTGGTTTAAAATTAATTTGAGTAAATTATAAGTTGTATGTTTGTTTCATATAAAATATTAAAATAATAACACAACTAATTATATTTTATTTATCTTGTTTATTGTATCTT